GGCTAGGCTAGAGGCATGGTGAGGAGGGAGGGGTCAGCATGCAAGGGTGCAAGCGGGAAAGGGTAGGTTAAGGCGTCCAGATGCTGCCCTCTTGAATCCAGCCAGAAGGAGATGAGAAGGAGTGAAGGCTGAAGTTGTATCCGAAAAGACCTTCCGTCTGGGTTAAATCCTGCCAGAGATGGGTGTTGATAGGACTGGAGGTATAGATCCCAAGCAGAAGCGACTGACTGTGTTTGTCGCGCAGAGAACAGCAGCCGCTTTCTTTTTCGCTGTTGCGCTCGCTTGGCTGCTCCCTTGAACGTGTGTGTATGGTGTGTATGCGAGTGGTGTAAGAGAGAGAGAGTGAGAGAAGAGAGAGAGGAAGCGAGAGGCTGCCTGCGCTGTGGATTTCTCTTTATCAGTACCCCACTCATCTGTATGCTTCTGCAGCCTCCTCTCTCTCTTCCCTCTCTCTCCCTTCTCTGAGCGCTGCTCTCCTCCCTCATTCCCTCACTCTCCTCTCTGCCTCGCTCTCTCGCTCACTTTCCTATGTCTACCTCCTGTCTCTATCTTTTCTCAGGGTGTCGATCGTCACCCTGCTCTCTCTACATATATCTGGCTCACTCTGCTGATAATAGCCATCACAACAGCACCAGCTTCTTTGTCTGCAAGAACTCCCTTCCACTCACACACACCACGCTACGTGTATGTATGCAGCCGTATCTATATGTACGCTGTGTGTCTGTATGTGTTTGTGTGGTGTGCTGTGGTGTAGCTAATGTGTGTGTTGGTAGTGGTGGTGGGGGGGGCTGGTTGGCACAAACAGTTTCTCCCTGTGGTAACCATGGTTAGCAGAGGCTTTGCATTCATAGATGAAAAGAGAGAGGGGAGAGAAGAAGGAGGGAATCAAGAGCAGAGGAGTGGGGAGTAAACAGGAAGAGGGGGATGAACGCAGTAAAAAGCAATGTATAGTGGAGGATTCAAGGTAAAAAGAAAAGGTAAACACAGGGATTTGATCACAAGAAAGTCAAAAACCACTCATACAAACTACAGGAACATTTAGTCGTTCTGGTGTTATTTTTGTTGTTTTGGCAATCAATCCCATTGGTTATATAAATAAGCTTTTATGCAGGTCACTTGTCATTTGTATGGGGCTCCACCTCTCAGTTATATCAATGAACTCAACAAGCTTCCTGTCAATAATTAGGATCAAGGCTGTTTAAATATCTTGCCCATTTTGTCTCTCTAATGTCAATGTAACAGTTTGCCCCCACACATCCGACTGCCATTAGTGCAACTGTCTGTGGCTCCCTTGGACAGGGTTCCTAACATTTTAGGCTTGTGACCCCTTAGAATTAAGCAATTTTTTACAAACTTAAATGTGTCAGTGGGTTAGTAACAAGTTAATCTAAAAGTAATTTGCCAAAAGAGGTAATATTATCCAGTCTTTCACAAGGAAAAAGCAACAGAGGAACGTCAAATGTAGCAATTTCTGCTTTTCAGTGCTGTACATTTTCTCACTATCCCAGGATTTATTGCAAGGTTGCCTCCAGGTTGCAAGCCACTGTCCTTGGAGAATCTCCAGTTGGCTGCTATCTACAAATCTACTCCTATAATTTAACAAACAGGCTCAACGCCAAAATCTCTTTATTGCATAATTAAAGCATCTGGATTGTTGTTCACCCGTGGTGTCTTTCCCCACTGAACTTTGTACTCACGCTCACACATACATACCTGTGTTTATTTTACCTGAGGTGTCTTCCTTGATGTCCTCCACTGCCTATTCCTGCCCCAATAGAGCTCATGATCTTGTCAATCTGAACAAGAGAGAGAGAGAGACAGAACCAGAGTTAGAGAGATGTACAGCATGTGCAAAGGAAAGTAATTTCCCAGTAATAAGGCTAACCCCTATTTCTGGATTCAAGTGTCACATAACATGATCATTACGCCAGCCAGCGTGCTGAAATGTCAGTCATTCCCTCTGTGAATTGAAATAGCACGGAGGAGCAGAGGGGGAAAAAGATGTGTTAGCAGGAAACCTAAAGGCAGAGCAGAGGAAAGATAAAGGAAGAGGAAGACTGGATTGGAGGGAGCTACAGTGGCTTCATTAGTTTGGCTGCTGGCTGTCGACCGGACATCCCTGACCTTGGACTTGCTGCTAACCACTGATCTATGCAGCGTGCACATCCATCCACCTGTCAGGACCTCTGGCTCACCACAGGGCAGAGAAAACAGGCCTTGCTGTGACCAATCTGAGTCCAGTGTTTCAAAGGGCCAGGCCTGACAAATGCAAGCAGCCTTTACAAGCTGGGTGACCAGGAACGTGGCCTTATCTTAGTAGCTGAATAAACAGGAAGCAATTTCTGCACATCCCTGCACACAAAGCGCAAACTCACATGTACCTAGTCTGGAACCTATAGATTATAGAGAATAAGTTGGGTTTATTACAAGATGTTTTGGCTTTCATTTGGCTATTGATTACAATAACACTGTAGGAAAAAAAACCTTCTTTCTGAATAGATCAAGTATAAAAATTCACCACAGGCTGTTAATTACCATCCAAATAAGCACAAACAACCCAACACATCAGCTATTTTCAAGGTAAAGTCAGATTAAAGGACAAATTTGTAACATACAGAAACTACTTTAATTATGCCTGAGGCACTGATGAGTATGGATATCTTCGTATCACTGACTCTTGTGGGACATCACTCGTGACTCACATCTCGCTAACTTTTTTCCTGAGCATGTGATGCAAGTACAGCAACTTTGTTATTTTTTCCTCTGAAATCCCCATATATCAGTCCAGTTTCCCTGAAGCTATCTTATCTCATTCTCCCGTAGCATGCAATTAAACAGGAAAGGTCACCTTAATTGCTCAGAATTATGGGAAATTCCATATGGTAATTCATCACCATCAGCATGTTGAGAGCTGTGTTGGGGAACTAATGAACATGTACATGCAAATGTGGACAGGTATGCACAAATGTACTTTAACTCACACACATGAGCAGTATTTTAAAAATAGAGAGACTAATTAAGTCATGCCCATAATTAAAAAAAAATGGTATGAGATTCTTCATTTTTAAGCATAAGCTTGCGAAAGTGTGTCGTCTGTGGTGTCAATGATGTCAGTCAGCAGAAGCTAATGTGTCTATGACCCAAAGAATTCATAAAGGGGAGAGCTCGAACAGCGGTGACCAGTCAATAGATCACATCTGTGTCAGACCCTTTAATATCGACGAAGCCCCAGGCACAAACATACTGAGACCAAAACACACAGCACCCTCAACCTTCACTCTCCACTCTCTATAAGAGAGCCTGCTTTCCCGCTTATATCTGGTCTTCCCTGCAGCTCCAGTGGTAGTTACAGAAGAAAATCAATGTGGGAGCATGTTCAATTAGCACTGGGTCTCCTTCTGCGAGTGAATTTCAAAGGGAGGAAAAACTGAAGCAGCTCACAGCTGTGGATGCAGAGCTTTCGACTGCCCCCAGCAGAGAGGCTTCACTTGAAAAAGCATGCTGGCTTTCATACATTTTACTGAGGAAATACATGTAGTGTCACAGTAAAGGGTAAACTGAGTGGTGAAAAGATGTTGCATTTATTTTACATTTTGTGTGTAAGAGTGACCTATTTCCTCCCCATTTAATATCTTGATATTATATATTGATATAATTGATCCTAAACATCTGATAATAAGAAAACCTCTTCTTACCTCTTCCCATTCAGCAGTGAAGGAGGGTGTTCTCTCCAGTCTTCCCCCTGGGCTGGCACCCTCTCCTGGGCTGGGACTTCCTGGCCCCTGACCACGAGATCCAGACCCCCAGCTATGCTCCTCCTGGACAAGACAAAATAATAATTTGTTTTTGTTTTTTTACAGACAATGAGGTGCAAAGGTTGCCAAATAATTTAACCTTAAAAATACGGACAACTTAGCACTAAAAACACTTTAGAGAATAACCAAGTCCTTTCAGTGTTTCATGTATAATGAAGCATTTTTGATCAAACAGACAGTATGATTTATTTACTATGAATTAGAGAAGAAGTCTTATAAAATGTGCTGCACAGCAGGGAGCACTGTGGCCCAGATTAGTGAGTTATCTAATTGGTTGGACTGGTTTCTGTGCTGTTTCTGAAGTCACTCTGCATGATACAGCAAGATGCAAACTACCTCCACTGCTGCATAATTTATACAACTGAATATTTACAATACATGCGTTTGCTTTCATTGCTAACTGAAATCTCTGCGCTGGCCTAAACTTTTCTAAAAAGAAAAACTTTTTAAAACTTTTAATAAAAGAGACTTCTATGGTTATCCTTGACCTCTTACATAAATGAAGAGCAAGGCAGTATCAATGAATAGAAGAATGTTAAAGTTTAAACTTGCCTTCATAATAAATGCTGGGCTCTATTTTATAAATCATGCTATCGTGAAGGCTTTGATTGCACATACAATGAGTCATTTTAGATGAGAATTAAAAAAAGAAGATTGAAAATATAAGTTGAGACATGTTAGCAACAACTTACCTGTATGGGAGAAACAGCTACCAGGTTGGAATCAGACTTGGACAGAGACTTGGACAGCTGCAGGTCCAAAACACTGCGGGGCATGGACCTCATCCTCCCCAGGGTGCAAGCCCTCTCTTCGTAGCCAGCACCCGATGAGCTGCCCTTGGGCACACCTCCTGTCTGGATCCCACGTAACTCTGGAACTCCTCCGTTTTGACCAGAATAGGATGAGGGTGGGCCACCCAGCGTAGACCACCCACGAGGTGGCTCCAACTGTTCACAATTCCTGGGATGGGCCTGGTCCTGGTTGACCCTAGTATGGAAGATAGTCCGGTACACCACCTGTGGCTTCTGGGGGTCGTTGGCAGTCGTCAGAGGCAACGACTCGCTCCCTGTCCTGGAGAAGACCTGAGTGGGTCCCCCTCCGATCACGATGCTGAACTCCGGGGTCTGCAACAGACTGCTCTGGACGTCCGTAGAGGCATATTTGCGGGGTTTGGGGCTGTAAAGATGGTAAGGCGTATCAGGGGTTTCACAAGCTGGGGACGATCCATGAAGGAGGCCTGCAAACTCCTCTGGGATGTGGCTCTTCCTGCGCTCCTCCAACAGAGCCTTGGATGTGGAGGAAGAGCAGAGGGGAGGAGGAGGAGGCGGATCTTGCTGGTATGGCCCGTCGTCTGCAAGGAGGACACACACAAAACATAGACTGATTAGGATTAAATTGTTTTGCATAAAATGGTTCTTTCACAACAACAATTAATTTACTCCAGAAAAACAAGACCAGAAATCAGAAATTTACACTCACTGTACAAACAAGGCACACAATAATATTTAGAAGTGAAAGAGCAAAATGTTTAGTACAGAACAGAGAGACAAAAGCAACGGGGCTAAAAAAACAACAACAACTACTGCAAAACAGTTATTTTTTCTCCAAGGGAAAAATAAAGAACTCTTGACTTGGATTTTACAACTTCTTCACTGTCTGGGTGCAAAAGTGTGTGTTCATGTGTCTGAACTTGTGCATGTATGCATGGGGGCAGACGTTTGTTTTTGAGGGAATGCTTTCAGAGGCCCACTCACTGTCTGGGTGCAGTGGGTTGAAAGAAAAGCCACTGAAAGCTTCTTTTGATTCTCCATATTAGTGTTTGTTTGTGTGTGTGCGTCTGCTTGACTACTCGCCTGTCAGTTTGTGAATGCTTATGTTAACATCTGCAAACAAGGTACACCTGAGGGCACAACAATTGTCTTGCGTGTTATAAAGATGTAGTCCGCATGACACTAGATGCAAAACAAGAGGTGCATTACTTATTCTTACTCTGCCATGATTATTTATTACACTTCACCAGAGCACTGACGCTCTCAAACTCATAATGATAAATCTTCAACTCAATACAAGACTGTAGCAAAAGAGAAACAATATGTTCCAGGGAGATTCAGGTTGTAGCTTAGCTCCTTGGGGAACAGCCCTGCTCTTATTTATTTATAGCTTCACAAATAAAGTGTCTTGCACAGTGTGACTAAAACTAAATGCTGCATTTATGGAGTAAGAATTATTAGCAGAGGTGAAAGAAACCTCAGGAAGAGCAACAGAGACATGTAATAGATGTCATGTGTAAAGTATAGACCTACATAAAATTACAGTATGGACAATCAAATATAAGGAATGCGCGAAACACTGACATTTTGAAATGTCAAATGTCTGTGTTTTCCAATCTTCCAGGATGTCAGTGAATGTGTTTTGCTTTTGCTAGCGCGTACCGTTGGGTGACGGCAGAGTTTTTTTTGGCGTTGGCTACGGCCCACAGTAGCCTGTATTTTGTTCAGAAATAAAGAACGAGCAAACCAGCTATCTTCTCATTTGAGGGACGCTACAGTATGTTCGTGGATTTTTATGATGAACTGGAGTCGTTGTGTTTCTAAAACACAACAACATGGCTAGCACTAATTTAAAGTGTACTGTAGCTACAATTTGTTTATAATTGGATAGAACATGCAGAACTGCCAGTATGGTCTTTAATTTAATGTATAATATTCCATAAGCAGGTAAAGATTACCTGCAAGAGGCTTCTGAGGATCTGATTTTGTTTTCCAGTCATCTGCTGATTAAAAATATAATAAATCATACTATTCTGCTTATATTTCTAAATGGCTGAAAAACTCTGTTTCCTGTCATTGTGTGTTAAGATTGTGTACCAGGCCAGACCTAGTTTGTCCACACTCACATGAATGCAAACTCTACAGTCTTGTAATCAAAACTGTTGGTTGAATAATTGCATGTACTCCCACTGCCCCGCACACACACTGAATTTACAATCTTGTCATTTGACCGCATAGTCTTGCTGCCTGCCACCTCCTCACTCCACAAACACATACACAGTCTATGTTGTCAGCCTGTTTCAGCTAGAACTTCATGACTGTCCTCGAAACATCCAGCCACATTTCCATATGATACAATTACATAATGTAATGAGACATATATAAGTCTGTAAAAGTCCCTTTGAGTGACCAACTGCAAACATTCACAGTGATTAAAACAGGAGATGCTGGAGCTCCTCTAACTGTGGAGGAATAAAAGTGGGAGAAAGTGGAATATTAAACAGAGAGCTATTTCACATAATTTAGAATGTGAATGTTGTGTTTTAATCCACCTTAACGGTCTGCTGCTTTTAAACAAAACACCAATTAACATTATTCCGGTGACGAGGGTTGAAAACATGACTCATTCTCAAGAGTTATATTAAGTGAAATTGTCGTTATTTCCTACACAAGCTGACAGCTCTTTAGTTATGACTAATCCTCAACATTTTACAGGATAAACGGGACTAAGTGTCTGAAGCCTAGCTCACGCTATATGATTTTAAGCCCGATTTGCTGGTCGATGAGCTTGGCGACCGTCAGGCTGTGATCAGGGGTAAATCAGAGATCAATCGGTGGTCACCAGTCGTTATGTGTGAACTACTCAAAGAAGCATCAAAACGGCTCCCCAACTCGACATCTACATTCAGGCAATTACAGCAGGCAGCTACTTTTTCTCTGCAAAACACTTTTTACTCACCTCCAGCTCTCTCTGTAGCACATATGATCCCTGCTACCTGCGTGTGCTAATCCATTCTTTCACCCATATAGTTTGTCTTTATAATTTCTATCTTTACAATAAAACAGCTATTTCGTGTGTGTCTTTTCCCATTTAAATTTTGCACTGGATGTCTCCATCTCGCATTTGCGCAGGTCGAGTAATTATACCATGACCACCTCAAGGCAGGGGTCTCCGACAATCCGTGTATGAACTGTAGGTTTATGCCACAGTCAGTGAGAAGGGCTAGACTTGCACAGCTAGGCGGTGCTACTAGTCTGCCACCCGAAAGTGTGGTTGCAAACCCTATAGCATCTGCGGCCCGCAGTCGCAGGGCGGTTTCACGGCCCACCTAAGAAATCAAGGAAGGTGGACTCCTTGGCTCTTAAGGTTGATGGACTCTGATCTGAGTTTGCCCAGATTAAGGAGCTTTTGCTTAATCTTCAGCCTGATAATTGGGGGCCAGCTCCCAGTGAACTCCGTCACAAGGGACTCTCCTCAAGAGGATGATGTGCTATTGACTGCAGCCTCCTGCAGTTTGTTTACAGATAGAGGGGAAGAAGGGCAAGACGAGGAGGGGGACACGCTCTCCCGGGCTTCTGAGGTTTTTTCTCGGGGATCTGATGGGGGACCATTATGTGGGTCGGAGGCCGGCAAGTCCTCACTAAAACCAGTGATTCGCATGGCTTTAGCATGCCTGGGGCTGGATGATGCTCCTGTGGCGCCAGCACCTTCTAGTGCCGCAGCCCTCTGCCTTCTCAGTCCATGGTCTGCACGCTTATAGGTCGCAGGGCCTGCTGGCACCTAGTAAGGTAAAGTGTCACTCTACTTGGAGTAGTGTCCACATCCTGGGCGGCCCTGAGAGGGGTCTCTCTGCATGACATCTGTACTGCCGCAAGCTGGAAGTCTTCATGTACCTTCGCTCGCCATTACCGGGTAAATGTGGCTGCTCCCCAGGTGGTGGCAGCAGCCGTCCTGTCAACTGCTTCCACTCCTTAGCACGGTAAGCATTCCTCGTGACCTTGCTGGTATAAGTCATCAAGTGCTACTGCACCGCTGTCTGGCGGTCAGGAAGAATGAAATAGAACGAGAGTTACGAATGTAACAACGGTTCTATGAATTCTGGATGGCCACCAGAGTTGTCTGTCCCTCGGAATCTGGGCAAGAAGATTCTGTAGGAACAGATTGCGTGATGACGTGAGGTTTTTATACTGGGGCGTGCGCCCTATATCATCGTATGGTCAAAGGTGACTTTGTTGGTATAATTACTCGACCTGCGCAAATCCGAGATGGAGACATCCAGTGCTACTGCACCGCCGTCTGGCGGTCATCCAGAATTCATAGAACCGTAGTTACATCCGTAACTCTCGTTTTCTTGACAAAATGTGGTTTGGAGACCAGCCATCGGGTGACACAGACGATATCAGCTCATGTATTGTGTGCCCCCTCATGTAGTGTGGACACCACGACTTCAAGACTCCCGTTACAAGACGGCAAGTTGTGAATCTGAACAGCACGGCGATCGGCCGACGCTGAAAGTCATGTAGTCTGCACGAGCCTTAAAAGATTAGTGTAAATACACTTTCCTCACTTCTTTTGCCTTTTTTTGTCTTCTAGGTCATTGGTACATTTGACTATAATCATATTAGTCATCATAGTTATTACATTTTAACTGCTAAGAAAAAATCCTTCAATTATAAATTATGTTAGACTTACTATTAACAATATACACTTGTGTAGATAATCAAAGCACTGTAACATTAGTAAGTGGGATTACCACAAACAAATCATACATTTTGACAGCACAATGAAGGCATGGATAAGTTAAAATATTTTATTTTTTATTAACACTTCCGTCTATGTGCTTTTCTCAGCCCTGCCGTGCATTTCTATTGCAGTCCTTTATCACTCTCTCTATGCTATCCCTCTTTTTAAAGACGAGAACCATTGGCAACAGGTGAGCCTGTTGGTCGCTATGGTAACAGAGAGCCCCAGTGCAAGCATCTCTCCCAGTTTTTTGGTGGCTAAGTGTCTTTGGCTATCGGGAGAGTGAGGTTTGCATTCCTTATGCAGAAAAGATTACCCATTTATCCTACGTATGCTAGCAGCCTTAAAGCCGAAACACAGAGTTAACTAAATTATGCGAACATGGGCTCATGATTAAAAATAACTATTAGCCAGCTGATAGTTTAGCTATGGGTGGTTCATAAATGCAATCACCCATTTAAAGATTTTGCTTCTTTTCTGTTAAAGTGTCTATACCATTGTATTTTCTTCTGCAGTTAACCGTTTATTTTCTTTGTCCATCATCACAACATTCTATAATAGTGATTTGTTCAAACCTTTTTCTTTTGCTGTAAATAATAGTTTATTTCAGAAAATAAAGCAATGCCAATTCTGTTCTTGATTTGTTTCCTTTTTTCTCTTAAAAAAGTAACAAAAAGAAGCAATAAGAATTCCATTAAAGTACCGTACACATAAGCAGTCGGTAAGATTGGTAATATTGTAAAACTCTTAATGATACTGATTCATAATTAACCGTATGGTGCAGAGGCAGCTCTGCAATGGGAGATAAGTTCAGTAGCACACCATACTTCTTGCCCTTCTTTCGACTACATTAAGCTCACTGTGGCCCGACCTCTCTCATTAGTGGTAAACAATTTGGCAGCCATGGTTGCCCGCTCCAAAAGCCATGAAAAACACCACTTGTATGATGACTTTATATTTAGAAATTCTGAATTGTATATATTAGACAACAGAATAGAAATGGAATTTTTTTCCCATACTTTTCCAGTCTAGGAATTTACTAAAATCAAATTCCATACTTTTCTATACTGCACAAAAACATCAGTCGAGCTGATAGAATAATGATGTACTGACAACTTGTGCCAGCCAAATTACAGGATGGATAACACTGCAGAAGAGTAATTTGGCTCAACTCATGCAGGAAAGCCTTTTTTCTCTTCTTCTTCCCCTGCAAACAATCAATAGTCTTCCTTTGTGTGTTGTTTTAACCTTCATTACTACTTATCCATTTCTTAGCCTACAGATCAGCAGCTTCACCTGACTGTGCTCTGTGTTTGAGTGTGTGTGTGTGTTTCTTACCTGGACATCCAAGGCAATATAAGCTCAACCTAAGGAACAATCTTACTGTATGTACTGTACATAGATAGTAACTCAATACCCTGCTTCTGCTGAAAGGCAGCAAATGTCTAATGCGAAACAGCATCTGCATCACCCTGCATACCTGCATTTTTATTGCGGAACAAGGACGCGCACACACACACAAACACACAAGTTGTGGCTTGCAGCAGCTCAGCCCAGAAACTGATTGCTATTTGGATAAGTTCATATCAAGACAAACAACTGCAGCAATGTGTGTTTGCTTGTGCAACGAATGAGGTGTGAAGCATGTCTCAATATCACTCACAGGTATAACTAACTCTTAAAGAGTTAAGTATCAATTGGTATCTGCTTTTATCATCATCATCATTGGTGGCCCAATGGAGGCAAAGACTGATTTATCAATTTATATTATTGACTGGTGCAATGATGTGTGAAGTCATCACTTCCTCAGTTGAAAAACTGTGAGAGACAAAACCTTCAGCTGTGTACATCTTCCCAACACCCACCTATCAGTGGAAGGCTGGCAGAGAAGAAGAGAGTGGGTGTGAGAGAAACAGATCTGAAATGGAGTTTTCATTCAGTGTACCTAAACACCATCTATTCTACAATACTATCATCTATTTATAACGAAAAAACACTGGGGTGTCCACTAAATGCATTGATTGCAGATAATGAGACAGCCACAGGATGATCTGAGAACATATTAGTTATAAAACCAAAGATTAAATAAACACTAAAACATTTTAAAAAAAGCACTAACAATAAGTATTAAATCTTTGAAAGTGTTCTTTGTGCAGATTATTAGCAGGGGGCATTCCAAAGTCACAGATTAATTGGCATCTGTCAGCACAAGCTTCTGTTATATAATAAAAGTCTGGAAAATTTGAGATTGCCCTCAATACAGGTCAAAGTTTCAGAACACCCCAATTTTTCTAGTTTATATTTAACTAATAAACTCTTAAATTGTACAAAAGCAAGCAGCAAACTGCCAAAGCTCAAAACAACGTTTACTTCACCAAAACAGACATTTTCAGATATAAAATTAACAATTAAATTCAGTTCATTATTTCACTGTAGGATTAACTAATAACCAACTGGTTTGTCTTCCTTCATTAATTGCATATTTAGTTGCAATATTGTACAAATAAAGCTTCTGAGGGTGTATTAACACAGGCTGTTCCAAGGTGTTTACAAATTGTGACAACTGTAGAAATTCAAATCAACTTTCAGGGCTTCATTTACTTCCATTGCGGCAAAATAACTAAAGAAGGTAAGACAAAGTTTAAGTCAGCAAAACTGAGAAATAATTTAAATTTCAGAGAAGAAGCTTTATTTGTACAATATTATATATTATTAATGAAGGAAGATAGACCAGTTAGTCTTGGTTGATCCTACAGTTAAATAATGGACTACATTTGTACCAAGAGGTCATATTATGCTTTTTGCCTTTTTCCTTTCCTTTGTTGTGTTATATATCTTTTTTTATGCATGTAATAGGTTTGCAAAATGAAAAAGCCCAAAGTCCACCCCAAAGGGAGTTACCATCTCCCACAGCTCGACTCTAGTCCAGCCTTTACTTCCGTAAACTATCTGTCTCACTTTTAACACTCGTCATAATGCTCGCCTAACCATGAGATGCATGTGTTTTTGAAAATAACACCATGTAAACCTATTATAAAATTATGAACCTAAAAATGAGCATTATATGACCATTTTAAGTGAAGAACTACTTACATTTAAATACAAACTAGACACATTTGACTAAGCCCTCTGGTGGCTGTAATAATTATGACAGGAGCAAACCATGATATTTACCTAAATATAAAATTGTTTTGTGCCTAAACCTAATCAAATCTTATCCATGGCGCTGACACCTCACAAAATAGCTTTTTTTCAACAGTGACTGTGTCAAGTTCATGTAAAAGAAAAGTGAAAGTACAGTGAATTTATGAAAAGTATCATTTATTGTTGTAGAGTGTCTAACGGACGGCTACTTGACTGTGAAAGCTTGCCATCTCTACAACACTGCTAAACACAACTCCCACTCCAGTAGTCTCACATACGTATGAGCTTAAAACGGAGATTGCAACTTTCCTTTCAGAATGTGGTGTGGCTTGCACAAGTGGCATATCTCGAGGATGTGTTTAAACATTTTGAATGTGTCTCTGCAAAGGGGGGCAATATTTTTGAACAGACTGAAAATAGCTTTCAAAACAAAGATTGTACCGTGGGCAGGTCACGTTTCCACAGAAAGATTGGACATGTTTCCCAGCATTTCCCATGAGATGCAACAACTGGACATCTCATGGAGAAATGCTCTGACAAAAGCTCTAATGGCACATCTCACCAAACTGCAGGGCCGATTTAACAACTATATTCCTGAGAAAAACAGAGATGATGAGTGGATACACATTCCTTTTGGAGTAGATGTGGAAAGCGCCACGATGCAGAGAAACAAGGTAGCTTAGCTAAACACGACCTTAAGAGTTGCTTTGTCAAACATCACCCTGACGTTGAGACTCTTAGAAACAGCAAAAAACATCCTACACTTTTCCATTAACTTGCCCGTAATTTGCTTCTAGACCAGCATTTGAGCATCTGCTATGTATGTGTGCATGTTTTCCTTTCTTTAAAATAAACTAATTGAAAAGGCATACAGACCTTCAGCCTGTATAAATAGGAACCTTATTTATTAAACCAACCTGTTTTTTCTCTATACCCCGCAGCAAGCAAATATTTTATTGCCCTGTGTTTGGTATTATTTGGCCTATAAACACGCTGTGCTTTTGTAGTGTTTTCATGTCACTGGTTTTTAAGCCATAATATGCACTTTTTGGTTGCAGTATTAGTTTACTGAGTTTTAAGCAATTACACTTTCTTCATGCAATATGCTTTATTCCACTGTGTTGTAAGCCAATGATGTTTATAATAATAATAACTTACTAATAGCTTATGTCTGCAACTTGAACTAAGAAGGAATATGGCTAGACCAGTTGGGAGCCACTTTGCTATGGAATTGGGACAAAGCTCTGTATGTGATGTGAATGATTTTTTTTTTTTTTAAATGGCAACCACAATTCGTCATCATTAGAACTCATCATTCTGTACTGTGTCCCACTTCCATACTATTCTATCTGTAATATCGTATGTTGTATGTACTATATGTTGTAACGTGCACACAAACATCAGTCCAACTAGGACTTTAGAATACCACTGTTGCAAATTATCCAAAGATTTAAGACTTATTATGTTTGTTTTCCAAGATCTTCCTCCAGCTTTCTCACCACCATCTGCAATTTGTTTTAATGTTTTGCAGCTGTGAGCAGCTCTTCCATTTCTTTTGTGTATTGCGAGACAATCGTGTCTAGCAATAGCACACTCAAAAATGAAGCATTTTTTGTGAAATACTGTGAATACCGACTATTTTGAGTATACTTAATTTGTAACTTTTGTGCTGTGAATACAATATACACTGCTCAAAAAAATAAAGGAAACACTTAAACAGCACAATGTAACTCCAAGTCAATCACACTTCTGTGAAATCAAACTGTCCGCTTAGTCCACTCAATTTCACATGCTTTTGTGCAAATGGAATAGACAACAGGTGGAAATTATAGGCAATTAGCAAGACACCCCCAATAAAGGAGTGGTTCTGCAGGCGGTGACCACAGACCACTTCTCAGGTCCTATGCTTCCTGGCTGATGTTTTGGTCACTTTTGAATGCTGGCGGTGCTTTCACTCTAGTGGTAGCATGAGACGGAGTCTACAACCCACACAAGTGGCTCAGGTAGTGCAGCTCATCCAGGATGGCACATCAATGCGAGCTGTGGCAAAGAAGGTTTGCTGTGTCTGTCAGCGTAGTGTCCAGAGCATGGAGGCACTACCAGGAGACAGGCCAGTACATCAGGAGACGTGGAGGAGGCCCGTAGGAGGGCAACAAGCCAGCAGCAGGACCGCTACCTCCGCCTTTGTGCAAGGAGGTGCAGGAGGAGCACGGCCAGAGCCTGCAAAATGACCTCCAGCAGGCCACAAATGTGTCAGTGTGCTCAAACGGTCAGAAGCAGACTCCATGAGGGTGGTATGAGGGCCCGACGTCCACATGTGGGGGTTGTGCTTACAGCCCAACACCGTGCAGGATGTTTGGCATTTGCCAGAGAACACCAAGATTGGCAAATTCGCCACTGGCGCCCTATGCTCTTCACAGATGAAAGCAGGTTCATACTGAGCACATGTGAAAGATGTGACAGAGTCTGGAGACGCCGTGGAGAACGTTCTGCTGCCTGCAACATCCTCCAGCATGACCGTTTTGGCGGTGGGTCAGTAATGGTGTGGGGTGGCATTTCTTTGGGGGGCCCCACAGCCCTCCATGTGCTCACCAGAGGTAGCCTGACTGCCATTATGTACCGAGATCAGATCCTCAGACCCCTTGTGAGACCATATGCTGGTGTGGTTGGCCCTGGTTTCCTCCTAATGCAAGACAATGCTAGACCTCATGTGGCTGTTCCTGCAAGAGGAAGGCATTGATGCTATGGACTGGCCCGCCTGTTCCCCAGACATGAATCCAGTTGAGCACATCTGGGACATCATGTCTCACTCCTTCCACCAACGCCACGTTGCACCATAGACTGTCCAGGAGTTGGCGGATGCTTTAGTCCAGGTCTGGGAGGAGATTCCTCAAAGAGACCATCCACCACCTCATCAGGAGCATGCCAAGGCGTTGTAGGGAGGTCATACAGGCACGTGGAGGCCACACACACTACTGAGCCTTATTTTGACTTGTTTTAAGGACATTACATCAAAGTTGGATCAGCCTGTAGTGTGGTTTTCCACTTTGATTTTGAGTGTGACTCCAAATCCAGACCTCCATGGGTTGATAAATTTGATTTCCACCTGATAATTTGTGTGATTTTGTTGTCAGCACATTCAACTATGTAAAGAAAGGAGTATTTAATGAGATTATTTCATTCATTCAGATCTAGGATGTGTTATTTTAGTGTTCCCTTTATTTTTTTGAGCAGTGTATATTTAAAAACTTAGAAGCTTAGAATTAGTGTTATATTGCATTGAGACACAGGTCATAATGGCCAGTAAAATAAAAGCTCTTCCAAAATAATTCTCTCCATTTC